AACATTTTTAATGGATTCAGGACATTGAGGCAGCTACAACAGTGCAACAAAAGATAACTCGTGTAAGATGTCCAGAACCACTTCAGAAAGTGGCAAGAATGATGGAATGGAGTTTGTTTGAAGCAAGGTGAAGTATTTTGAGGGGGATTAGTGGCAATATGTCTTTTACTACAATACTTTTTTTTAAAATGTAAACACTCACCATATTTTTCAATCACACCCTGTCCTAGTTACTTTTCTCTCATTGCTGAGACAAAATAGCCAACACTCAAAGTTAAAGGAGGAAAGGATTATTTTGGCTTACAGTTTGTAGAGGTTTCAGTCCATAGTTGACACCCAAGGCAGGGTGGCATAGGAAAGGGGCATCACAGAGGAGAAACAGTTCAGGCAGAAGGCAGAGGGTAGCAAACTACTAGCAATAATAGCAGCTTCTTTCTGCCCCTTTTATATTCTAGCTTGGCTACCTGGTTTAGGGTGGGTGGCAAATCAATCAGTGAACTGATTTAGTAATCACACAGCCTTAATTCCAGCACCCTTAACCCTAGCATTCCACCAGGAATTAATTCCAGCCTCACACACTCTAGATCCAGCCACCTCTGAAAAAGCCCCACCTCTGACTGCATGAGGCTTTCGGGGGACATGGAGACACAAGCCAGAACACACTTTGTATCAACAAGATTTTTCAGGCTCCCACAGCAGTCCTGAAGAAGCAAGTTAGAGATGGTGAGAGCGTGGCCCACAAAGTCCCACCTTGGGAGAGGCTGCTGGACTTGGGACACAAGGGTGGACAGGGTTCTTCCCTGTTGGCACCACCCCATGAGGGCCAGTTGCCACTCTCAGAGCCCATCCCCTCAGCCATCACATGGAGCCACTTACTTCAACAGCTGTTGTGACCTTGAAATTAGCTTAGTGGGATGTATGACATTATACCACAGAACAGTGCTGAAGTGGAGGACTCAAGACAGTCAGGGATCAATTTTAAGGTCATCTTGAGCCACTGAGGATTAGGACAGGTATGAAGGTATTAATTAATTTAATTTGTTTTTTAGGTATGAAGGTATTAAAAGGGTGTGAAAAGCACCGGGTGGGTGTGAGGATGATCACAGTTTTGTCTGGAACTAATTCCAGGGGAATCTTAACGTATACATTTTTACCAAAGATATTATACAACATCTGCATCAGAAAGTCTCAAAATTGTGAATAAGTTGACATTTGAAACCCAGAAGGGTGAGTTTTCCTTATAGTAGGCAGACACAGCAGAAGTAAAGTGATTATTTTTAAAGAATTTATTGAGGAGGCCGGGTATTTAGCTCAGTGGTTCCACTGCCTGCCTCACAAGCACAAGGACCCGAGTTCAATCCCTGGTACCAAAAAAAAAAAGAATTTATTGAGCAACCACTGCATATAGTGTTGCAATGAGCTGGATGGAGATTGAAAAACTGAAAAGGAGAAAACAACCTAAATTGTCATTAATGGATGAGTGGATAAACAAAAATGTGGTACATCCATGCAATGGAATATTATTCAGCTTTTGAAGGAAAGAAATTCCCATGCGTGAACATTAAGCTAAGTGAAATAAGCCAGACCTAAAGGAAAAATATTGCATCTTTGCACCTATATGATGTATCTAGAGTACACAAATTCCTAGAGATAGAAAGTAGAATAATGGTTGCAGGGGCTGGGGCATAAATGGGTGGGTAGGGGAATAAGGAATTATTTTCTTAAATGAGCACAGAATTTCAGTTTGGGCTGATGGAAGAGCTCTGGAGATGGATAGTGGTGATGGCTGGGCAACAATGCAAAGGTACTTAATGCCTCTGAACTGTACTTTAAGATGATTAAAATAGTAAACTACATGTTAGGTGTGTCTTAGTGCCTCCTCAAAAAAACACAAGCAAAAAAAGAAGAGAGCCCAGTCTTTGGTTTTCTGCAAAGAGAAACAAAGGCCCACACAGCCAGGGAGAAGAGGCAGGAAAGGCAGTTCCGGGTCCTTGGTGACTCCAGGGTCCTTGGTGGTGGCCGGAGCTGGGGAAGCACTTGTCGTGGGCTCAAGGACTTCCCATTCTCCAGGCTGAAAGTTCCGCACAGGACAGCGTCTAAATGCAGGACTACAGGGTGGCTTGGAGAAGGGACGAAACCCCGTGTCCCCCAAAGATAAAAACACCTTCATGTTCCTTTCCTGGGTGAACTACCGGAATGCGCAAGGCGTAGTTCACCTTTCTGCCCTGTGAGTTCTCGCCTCCAAGTCTCTGCCAGCCTTTGGCCACCGAAGGAGGCCTCGAGGACCGTGGTACTCTCTAGAGGGCGGCCCAAGAACAAAGGGCAGAGGCAGGGCCTCCCGAGGGTCGCGTGGCCTCCCTGCCTCCTGCAGCGCGTTATCCCGGTGACTCCCGGGTCTGGCGCTCTGGGTGCTCCTGGGGCACAATCATCTGTGAGGAGTGGCTAGGAGCCGAAACTTGCAGTCCGAGGAACTGGAGCCCCAAGCCCAGCGGGTCGGACACTGCACCACTCGCCCACGACAGCCGCTCCACTTGCGGCGGCCCGGGGTATCCGACCTAGCGCCGCGATGCCGCCAGGGGGCAGCTGTCCCCGGCAGGGGAAGCACAGGGAACCGCACCCCGCCGTCTGCGTCCGAGCCGGCAGGGCCCGAGGGAGGCGGAGGTCACCAAGTCTCCCTGGGCCTGCTCCTGGGGATGGTTTCTGTCCCCCTGACCAGCTTGAGGGCCCGGGTGGGATGATTTTCTATCTTCCCCCAAAAGCTGCGCGCTCGTCAGGGAGGGAGGTCCGGGGAGGGGGACAAGAGGGATAGAAAGGAGACGGAGCGACGGGAACCCTAGGGTTTCAGCACTCCGAGAATCTCAGGAAGGCGGCGCTGAAGTTCGCACACAAACGGGAGGTTTAACTAAAGCAAACAAGACCAGTGGCCCGCCCAAAGGTGGGGCTTTAGGAAAGCTCGCCCAAAGCTCTGCTAACCTTCTCCTTTGGCTCTGACTTTCAGTAAATCCCCACACCTTGCCCTGAGTGGCAGAAGGCAATTTGCCACGTTTTCCAAACATTTCCAGGGATGCGCTCTTTAACCTTTTTAGGCAGGGACCTGCGGAAAATGACAAACGGAAAGCACAGTCTATTTCCCGCGCGTTTTTTTTTTTTTGGACAGACAAGGTCAGGGTGGTGGAAATTCTGAACAGAATGACAACCCTAACAGGTCATCAAAGATAAGTGATGGTCAGAGAGCAAATTCTTTTTTTCAACACTTTGCCACACAGCAACCTTCAGGGCTGCGAAAATCGAGTTTATTTAGCCATCGACTGAGTACTTAAAAAACTTAAACCTTTCGCTGCAAAAGTGAACTTCTTGGTAAGGACTCCTGGCTACATCAACAAATCAGTGCAATGCCTGATTAATAATGCTGATTAATGTTGGCTCGGGTTAATGCGGAGCCCATTACAATAATTAAATGACTTGGCCATACATCAAATCAGAGTCAATGAAAAGTAATTTATTTAGAACTTTGAGGCATTCTCATACATCTTTCAAAGATCTACGATAGATTTTTATGGATCATTTGTAAGTTTAACTGGTGGTAACCATACATACTCAGGAACAAAAACCCAATTTTAAAGGAAGGCTTAGATGGGAGAGCAGTTTATTTTTGAAGTTCTGTGATTAATAACAGGAGTAACGAAACGTTTCAAAACGTGAAAAGTACTTGGTTGATAAAATGATATATACCAGAGCAGCTGATGATGGTTCCTACAGAAAGCCATTGAATTTCGATTCCCAGTTCTTTTCAAGTGGCCATTTTAATCAGAAAGTTAAAGTTTTAAGGCAAAGTGCCCACCCTGACATAGAAACATTTTAGGAAATGCAAAAAATCCAGAAGGTATAGCTATAGGAATGTGGATTCCACAAACTCTTGGGATTTTCCACTGGCCAGAATAATTTAGTTGGTGATAATGATAGATATCTTTAAAATAGCATCATTTTTGAATTATTTCCACTATGTTATCACCTGGAAATGAAAATTGAATTGAATGGAATTCGTGTCTTGCCATTTAGAAAATTTTCGTTTTCCACCAGAACATTGGAAATATTTAATAGATTTTCTTAAAACACATTTTAAAGTTGGCCTTAAAGTTACTTATCATTGTAGTTTCTATTAAGCCTGCTTAAGTAGAAATACGCATATTGTAATTTAAGTATTTTGAGAAATATAGTGAAATGCTTAAAATGTTCTTTTTGTTGAGAATTACAGAGTTCCTTCCCCAATATGAAAGCTAATTGTTTGAATGGTTCTTATGTGTATGTGAGTTATTACTAAATTTTTTATTTCTTTACTTGAATCAATCGTTTCTTTATGGAAATAAAGTAACGGTTGGGGAATGTGTGGGATCCTATCATCCGTGTGCAGTAGTTTAGCTGTCAAGTCTCTAAGGCATTCAGTTGCAAATAAGTGACTAAAAACACAAGGCTAACAGTACTTTTATTAACAGATAGTGGCAAACAAACGTCTTACCGAAGGGAAACAGTTAAAGGGTCGATAAACAATCATTATCGTATGGGGTGTGTGTGCGTCCCTCCTCAGTTTCAGTGGGTAGCCACTCGCCCAACCCGGAGGAACTGGGACACCCAGCAGAACCGAAGCCTCCCAGGGCCACATCGGAGGACAGACAGGTGGTCTTCCCCCAGCGGGGCGGCTCCTAAGGGCAGGTAAGTGGGCAAACCCTCGGCGCACCCTGAGAGCTTCTGAGGTTAGGGCTGAGTGCTCATTGGCGAGATGCGGGCTGAGCACCCTAAATCGCTTAACAGGCCACCGTGGGCAGCCAGTCCTTCAGCCCCTAATAGTGGGGTCCGCTCTTCCAGCCGGTCCCCTCCGGCTAGTGAACTTCCTCTCCCGGGCAAAGCCGCTTTCCTCGGCTTCCTTTCCCTTCCCCCGGCCGCGCTGACGTGCGCACCATGTGACAGGCCCCCTTCTGCTATAAACTAGGAAAGGTCCGCCCCCTTCTGGACTCGTCCCTGGCCTCGCCGTGCTACCTTCTCAGACTCTCAACGCGTCCCGCGCCCTTCAGGGCGCCCGACTCTAGGGCTCGCGCAGGGGCTCAGCCACCCCTCCTCGGCAGGCCCGGGGCAAGGGGAGTCTGGAGCGGGGAAGCTAGGTCCCGCGCGCCCGCCGGGAACACGCGGAGCCCAGAACGCGCACACAGCGCGCGGCTCCCGCGGCCGCCCACCGGAGTTGCGAAGTCGGAGCGCGGGACCCCGTCGCCCCCAGCGTGGCGTCCCCGGACCAGGCCCGCCGCCCAGGGCCCCGGCCGGGCGGCCGCGGCAGCCCGGACTCCGGCGCCCATATGCGCCGCCCCGCCGCCGCCGCCGCCGCGCCACAGCTATGACCCTGAGCGCGGAGATGTCCGATGCCTCCGGCCTCGCCGAGGAGACAGACATCGACGTGGTGGGGGAGGGCGAGGACGACGACGACGAGGAGGAGGACGACGACGAGGGCGGCGGCGGGGCCCGGCTGGCTGTGCCTACACCGCAGCGGCGGCGGCGGCGGCGGCGCTCGTACGCCGGGGAGGACGAGCTAGAGGACCTGGAGGAGGAGGAGGACGACGATGACATCCTGCTGACCCCGCGGGCGGGAGGCTCCCCGACGCCCCCGGGGCCCGCGCCCCCAGCTGGGGCGACCTCGGGCGGCGGGAGTGGCGGCGGCGCGGGAGCGGGCGCGGGAGGCGTCGCGGGCGCGGGCGGCGGCGCCAAGAACCCGCTGGTGAAGCCGCCGTACTCTTACATCGCGCTCATCACCATGGCCATCCTGCAGAGCCCCAAGAAGCGCCTGACGCTGAGCGAGATCTGCGAGTTCATCAGCGGCCGCTTCCCCTACTACCGCGAGAAGTTCCCCGCCTGGCAGAACAGCATCCGCCACAACCTCTCGCTCAACGACTGCTTCGTCAAGATCCCCCGCGAGCCGGGCAACCCGGGCAAGGGCAACTACTGGACGCTCGACCCCGAGTCCGCCGATATGTTCGACAACGGCAGCTTCCTGCGCCGGAGGAAGCGCTTCAAGCGGCAGCCGCTGCTCCCGCCCAACGCCGCGGCCGCAGAGTCGCTGCTGCTGCATGGCGCGGGGGCCGCCGCAGACCCCGCCGCCGCCGCGCTCTTCCCGCCCGCGCCGCCGCCCCCGCACGCCGCCTACGGCTGCGGCCCCTATGGCTGCGGCTACGGCCTGCAGCTGCAGCCCTACGCGCCTCCGTCGGCGCTCTTCGCGGCCGCCGCGGCCGCCGCCGCCTTCCACGCGC